AACGCTTTGACAGCCATTGAAGGCTCATTTGGGTATGTTGTTCTAATTGTAAATCTCAACTTGACAGTACAGACACGCACTCCCCGAGTTGCTTCACGATTCGAGGTTTGTATTTACCTTATATTAACCATTCGTTGTCTATCATAGTACCGCATTTTAAGACAATCTCATCTTCTGTTGACTTCGGGATTCGCGCCTCACTCGATCGTTAGGACGGATTACCAGTGTGCAATCCACATCTCAGAATCTTCTCAAGAGATTCTACACCATGCGGAGTTCCGTAAGCACGAACAGAGCCGGCTCGATCGATATGTGTGCATCACTGTGATCATCACTTGCACCCAGTAAGTGTTTTGCTTGTACAGTATATGCGGTTTCTCTTCATTGGTACGACGTTTTGGGGGATTTCAGTCCAGTAGAACAAAATGAGTACAAAATGGAGTCGTAGAAACAAACATCTAACAGATTTGGTCATTTCAAACATACGACCTTTCATGTTGTAGACCGCCGCAATCACGGAGACAGACAGCGAAAGCCTCTCGATATGCGCAAACATCACTAGATTCCGGTTAACGATATTTTGTGTGGCGGTTGCAATACCAATGACTGTTTGAACTTTCCACATCACACAGAACTGCGATCACCCTAAAAACAATCGACTGCAAATTATAGGTCGCTTGATCATGTTCATCTCTCATATCATCCTCGGGTAAACACATTTTATGTCAAAACATAATGGTGGTAGATGTGTGTGTGTGAATTTGTGGCTAGATGAAAAGAAATTTTTAACAGCCGATGCGTTAAACAACTCGGGCGCTTACCTCACGTCATTTCCACCGTGAGCAAACGATCCAAAAACTGCTGTGAGAATTTGTAGGAATGAAAAAATTTTTGCTTCGGACGGTCGGTCTTTAATGAGTTCCCGCTTGGTTGACGACTCCTGGTTCGGAATAATGCAAAAACGGAGGAAACGGGGAGCGGTGAAACGTGTCACTAAATTGGAGGACAAATAATTCATGCCAGACAATGGAGCTGTATGAAGACATCTTTGAAGTATTATCATGGCTGATGATAATTCATCTGGTTTTCACGCCTTGTTGAATGCTTTCGGTGATGCGGCCAGTTGTCAGTATTTTTATTTTAGACAAAATTCACCGTCTAATAGGGAAATTGACGAAGACGAGCAGTTTTCCGCACTATTCATGTGATTCTACATACCGAGGCATTTGCATTTCAGCGGCCGGATCACATTCGTGAGTGAAACGAACACGCCGGGAGTGATGGTCAACAATGCGCATCGAAGAACCGTTTTCTGGTGTCAGAACGCATGCTAAATTCCTGTCATGTTTGCATGCCTGCGAACACTCGAGTTGTGAACTACCAAGATTTGATAGACTTGGAACGCGGTAGAAACCTTGCTACAATATTGGTTCCGGAAAATCACAGATTATGAATAGACATTTTTTCTCGTGACTAATGATTAAAGAAATAGCAAAGGAAAGAGACCCCACGTGACCATTTACTAACATACGAATACCCCATGCTTATCTATGCACTGATAAGTTACACATTTGGGAATTTCGTTATGAATTCTGAAGTACATATGCTGATTGAAACCAACGAACATAACTGTCAAGCCAGGCAGACAATTTTGTCCATTTATTCGTTTGTGTACGTGAAACCGAAGGAGCATATGCTTTTGATCAATAAAGTAGACGATTAAAGAATTTGTCATTTCCAGCAAGGCTGTATGGCTAATATGCAAATTATTACAATTGCTGGTGTCACGGAATGATGCATCATGGATACCAATATAAAGGTGACACATTGCATGTATTTAACCAAACACGACTGGGATGCAGATATACAAGGATGACATTTGTTTGCGATTCACTCAACAGAAACTTGAGTGGCATCTAATACAACCCCAAAAAGAATTTGAATAGCTTATTTTTTTGTTTAATCCTGTGTGTGAAATGGAATCTAGAGCATATAGGTCATATAGAGAGCGTTTAATTACTGAGTCTTTGCTCATCAACAACGATCCACTTTGCGTCAATCGATCGGACGGGACACAATTATCAGTTCACTGGCTTAATAGCAATTGCACAACGAAACACTTACACATACACACCCTTGCACACTGACAAACAAGATTTAATCTAGCCACGTCACAAAAGCGGCCCACCGACTAATCTCTCATCTTCTATGACGTCATCAGTAACTCTTTGAGCTCTTGCTTCATTCGCAACTTCCATGATCTCATCTGTTACCTCTCCCTCTCACACACACATACACACGCCAACTCAATTATTCCTTCCCCCTAGACCAATCAAACGCACCTCCGATTGATACGGTTTCTCTCACGATTTTTGTTTAATGTTCGCTCGTTAATTGACTTGAAAAAGGCCTTCCAAGAGGGTCGAAACGTCGTCAACCAGAAAAATGGTTGTTTTTTGGTTTTCTCTCATCGTGGCTAATCCAAACATTCCTATACGGATCTCAAAGTCAAAGTCAAAGTTTTATTATGGGAATAGCTTACAAGCTGGTGCTTCTCTTGTCCCATAGGATGTTTACATAGATGAATCGTTACACATCAAAAAAGGAGTCACATA